GAATGTATCAAAATGATATCATTTTGAGACATTCATATTATTCAAACCATGAAAATTCAAACTACCAATAATTGTTGTTATCGAATAAAAAAATAATTTATCTAACCAATCTCAATTATTGGGACTTGCAAGTCGGTTTGATAATAGGGCTAGTAGGGCTGCAAATGAACCGAACTGTTCATGAACAAGCTCAAGTTCGACTCGTTAAGGCTCGTTCGAACTCGGCTCGATTAATAAACGAGCCGAGCTCGAGCTTAATATTGCTCGACTCGAATAAGCTCGCGAGCTCAAAAATATAAATATTAATTTTTTATTTTTATATTTTAGAAATATGTATATATTGTATATATATTATATATTATATATATTAAAATATTATATTATATTTATTAAATTAAAATATTTTAACTGGTCCATCAATAATGATGATGCTTATTATTTTAATATAAAAAAAACTCAAAGGTTTGCCTTTGCTTTTGTTCAACAATTCACCACTTTATAAGCATTAGGACATAAAGGCGTTTCTTCTCTCAGCGATGTGGGACTCAAACAGTGGACGAAAATATTGTGCCAAACGACGTCGTTTGGTGCATTTGTTAGAAGTCCTACATCGACTGCAAAATACATTTTAAGGTGGACAAACTTTTATATAAGTGCAGAGGGTTAGCTTATTGTTTTCCATGGTTCTCTCTTGGCTTGACGAGCCATCACAAGCCAAGCTCAAATTACATAAATTTTAGACGAGTCGAGCTTGAGCTTAGATATTGTACCTTGTTTCGAGCTCGAGCCGAGCTCGAAGACCTTGTAAATAAGTCGAGCTGAGCTCGAATATTATAGAACTCGGCTTGACTCGTTTGCAGCCCTAATGGCTGCAAATATAATTTAATTTTTTTTTTAATATTTATAATTTATATAATAAATAGAGTCAATAATAATGTTATAATTGATGTTGATACACTACTAATTAATACATGTAGGACCACTGTTATCCATTACCACAACCACTGCCACCTTGACCCACCACCCAAGACAACCCAGATCCCGCGACCATCAGCCACCCACAGCCGCGCCACCTAAGCAACTCACTACCACAACCCACCTCTGTGTGTGTGTGTGTGTGTGCGCGCGTGCGTGCACGCGCAAAAGCCCCACCATTACCATCCTTCCTCTTTCATGTGAAACCATCACCTCTCAAAACCACCACCAACACTCATAGCAGCCGCCCTCCTACGCCGATGCCCCATTCACCTCCCTACCCCCGTCCAGATTGAGAAACCAGTCACCGCCGAACACCAGATTGCGAAAGGAGATCACAAAACCAAGAAAGAAGGGATCGGTGGAGGTTGTGACGAGTGGGGACAGTGGTGGCTGGCTGGGGGTGCTTGCTGGTGCTGGTGCTGGTGCTGGTTATGGTTAGGTTTGAAAGAGAAGAGGAAGAGTTTGTGCTAATAAATTTGTTTTGCCCAACAAGGCACAATGCATTTGGTATTATTTTTTCAAGGCAATCTCTACTGTGCTATTATTATTTTGTTTCCATTAAATTGAAATTATTTGGTAGTGTTACCATTTTAATGATATTTTTTGTCAAAATTTTGATTAAAGTTTGATTTAATATTTATTCTCTATTTTTTCATCAATTTTTTTTTGAAAAATTTTAAATTTATTCTAAAATTTCATTTTTAAAAATGATGAAAGCAAATCATTTTCAATCCTTCTTTCTTTAAAATTCATCAAATTTGAGTAAGTATATGACTGTCAAAAATTTGGTTAACGATTTGATTTTGTTCATCATTAATTAAGATTTTCTCTAATATAATGATGGATAAATATAGAAATCTGATACTCATGACAATCTTATTTCGTGCCTAATTGTGCCATACTCTTGGTTATCTTTACTCTTTTTCTTGGTGTTAATTCCACTGGGTAGTGTTCCTGTCACTTGCATTGCAGGAGATGAGCGCAGCAGGATTTGCTGTGCTGCCAAAACAGTAGCGATTTGCTGTTGATTTTCTTTTCTTTCTTTTTTTTTTGGGTTATTCTTATTGGTTTTCCTTTTTTTTGCTGTTTCTAGTTTTTGCAATGACAGTACCTTGTTTGGTTTTGTTTCAAATCTGTTATTTACTTTTTATTTTCTAAAGTATAAATTAATTTGACAAAAATAAATACAAAAAAGATAATTTCAAATTGTCAAAAACTATTTTCACTCCAAAAAGAAAAAAAGCATAAAAATGATGAGTGTTTTTTATGTAGTTCATTTTATTCACCAAACTAGTTTTTAGTTTTTTTAAAAAATAAAAAAAGAAACAGAAACAAAACCAAACAAGTTGAGTGTTTATTTATTTATTTATTTTTAATAATTCACAAATACCCCCACAAAATTAAATGTAATGTAAGGAAAAATTTTATTGACATTTTTTATTTTATTTTTGAGAATGCAGATGAGTTGGGATTTAATGTCTATGTATTGATTATTGTATTTTTGGTATTTTTAAAAAGTCAAATAAGATTATTTATACATTTTTTGACATTGATATTTATTGGAGTATAACTACCTATTTTTATTGTCCACAGGTAATGGCATATAATCTATAGGTATTTATCACTATTTGATGATATAATGATATACTTAGGGAAATTCTTTTTTTAAAATCACTACCTATTTATTTTTGTCAAATTAATTTATATTTTAGAAAATAAAAAGTAAAAAACAAATTTAAAACAAAACCAAACAAGGTACTATGATTGCAAAAACTAGTAACAGCAAAAAAGGAAAACCAAGAAGAATAACCACAAAAACAAAAAAAAAAAAACAAAAAAAAGGAAAATCAGTAGCAAAGCGCTACCGTTTTGGCAGCACAGCAAATCCTGCTGCAGGTACCCCCATCCTGCATTGCAGTAGCAGTAAACAATAAGAATAATGCTTGGGATCCCCTTTTAGGGGTCACCCCCTCACCCCCTTTGCCACGTGGCAGGTGGTGATTGGAGGAGCAGGAAAAAAAAGAAAAAGAAAAAGAAAAGGTAACCAATGAGAGAGAGAGGGGGTCAAAGGGGGTGGAGGGAAAAGGGGGGATGAATCATTACTCAAACAATAATAGCCACTATTTTGCTTTATTCTTCCTAAGACGAGTGGTAAATTGCACAGTCCTCTCCTCGAAGTTGGCAAAAATGCATATAGTTCCATTAGTATGTGATAATTGCACTGGTCTCCCTTCAAAGGAGACCTACCTTAACTCCGTTAACAGAAGGAGTTCGATGAAAATACCCTCAAATTTTTCCTCTCCTTCCTTTCCAAACAGTCCAACCCCCTTCTCTCAATTCAGTAAAAATCCTCAACTCTGATATTTCAGCACAGAACAATGCAAGACCATGTCTTGCACCGTAGCACATTTAAAACAACAAAATAACAAGCCTAATTGCACTTCTTTAACATGCGTGCACACACACAAAAAAAGGCCTAATTGATACTAATTATTGTGCCTACAAATGCAACCATTCATGACTGGATCTATGAGAAAAGCTAATCCACCATACATTAACAAAAACAAAAGCCTGATCTGCCCAATCCATTGAACCTAAACATTAGAAAACCTAACCAAAAAAAAAAAAAAGATGGACTTTGGTTTGATATCAATTCTTTTATATATGACCACTTGAATCAATGTCTATTATTAGTTTCTTTTGGTAAAGTGCAGAACACAAGGAATGAAGCATCAAATGGTTTGGTATGTTGTACTGAACATTATTATGATTATCATGTCCTCTTTTCTCTTGCCTGTTGGTGCCAGTGAAGACAGCATTAGAGCAGGAGAATCTATCAATATTAACGAAGCCTTAACTTCAGCTGGAGGAAATTTCGCATTAGGCTTCTTCAGTCTAGGCATTTCTATGAACAGCAATCTCCAAACAAACAGTTATATGAGTAGAGAATACCCACTTGCTAAAAATTCTCATGGAGTTTTTGGGCTCGATGATGATGGCAATATTGTGCTTTTACATGGAGGAAAAAAAGTTATTTGGTCATCAAATGCAACAATTGCAAAATTGGCCATGAACTCCACAGTTACAATGCTGTTAGATACTGGAAATCTCGTTCTCAGACATGGTCAGACAGGCACTGTATTATGGCAGAGTTTCGATTATCCAACTGATACGCTCACTCCTGGCATGAAACTTAGCTTCTATGTAGCACGGACACGTCTCCTAAGGCAACGTTTGGGTGTCGGACACGTGTCGGACACGAACACGTGTCGGACATACGGTTGACACGTGTCCGACACTCTACCCTACGTGTCCCTTTTTTTTTTTGAATTTTTTGCAGCCAGACACTCGCTTGGACACTGTTGGACACGCTATGGACACGTTATGGACAGAGAGGGAGAGAAACCCTAACCTGTTGCAGACAGAGAGAGAGAGAGAGAGAGGGGCGGTGAAGAACCTGTTGAAATGGAGCCCTAGATCAGGTATGTTCTTCGATCAGGTGTCGTCTTCCTCGTCTTCCTCGTCTGTGTCGTCTCCCTCTCTGCTCTCTCTCTCTCTCTCTCTCTATGGTGTTTCGGCCCTCTCCTTTGACTATCGATCGCTATCTGCTCTCTCTCTCTCTCTCTCTCGCTCTCGCTCTCGCTATCGTGTTTCGGCGTTTGACCATCGATCGCTTTATATATCATATACTAATAATATATTTACATATATATATCATTTACTTATAATATATATACATATATATATATTTATATCCTAATAATAATAGTATATATATTATATACTAGATATATATTTGAACATATCTTTTTTTTTTCTTTTCCTTTTTTCTATTTTTTAGATATTATTATTTGTTTAAATAAATTATTTTTATTTATAAGAAAATTTTAATTTGTGAATAATATTTGATATTAAAATAAATAAATAATATTTATATTTTTTAATTTTACATATAATAAATAAATAAAATTATATATATTGAACGTGTCCCCATCGTGTCATGTCCCTTATTTTTTGAAAATTTGCGTTTTCCTGTGTCCGTGTCGTGTCCCGTGTCTGTGCATCATAGCTTAGCTTGAATAGGAAAAATGGCCAGCAAAGACTTCTGTACTCGTGGGCCAACAATGAAAATCCTCGACTAGGAATGTTCTCCAGAGGTATAGATCCTGAAGGCTGTCCATAGATTTTCATTTGGAAGCAAAATCATCCCTTTTGGAAAAGTACTATATACGACTATAGTTTGGTTTATATAGATCACATATATCAAGGGTTTGGCTCCTTTTTAACTTTCATCAAAGAAAGTGATGAAATTTATCTCACTTGCAGTGTCTCAGAAACTTGCTTAAAGTAAGAGTCACTTTAACTCCTACTGGGCAAGCTCAGCAGCTATTTTGGGCACAAACTAGCAATTCATGGGTAGTTGTATGGCAGGCTCCAGTAGTTGAATGTGATCTTTATGGGTATTGTGGTCCATTTAGTAGCTGTGAGCAAAATGGATCACATCCATTTTGCAGTTGTTTGGAGGGTTTTGTGCCCAAAGATCAGAAAGAATGGAATCTTGGAAATCAGACAGGAGGCTGTTCTAGGAAGATGGAATTGACATGTGATAAGGGAGATTGATTTTTTAAGTTTGAAAGAACTAGATAATCTGATTATTCAGTGTCTCTGGGAAATATGACTGTTAGTCAATGTGAATCCAAATGTCCTGACAACTGCTCTTGCACAGCTTATGCTTATGCTAATCTGACTATAGAAACTACAGTGCACTGTATGAATTGGTTTGGGGCTTTGGTGGATCTAAATCATAATGCCTTCATTGGCAAAGATCTTTATGTTCGCCTTCATAGCTCTGACCAAGGTATGTATGATATCTTGCTTGATTTCTGTTGAAGGCACTGTTTTTCTAAATTTTAGCCCAAGTCATGTAGTTTGTGATAATGAGCTAATTTTCTGTGTATTGTTATTCTTGTGTAGTTAGTAATGCTAAAACTGGTAACTTGACCACTAAAAGAAGAATTCTGACTGCAATTGCAGCAGCTGCTATCTCTACAAGATTGCTATTTATTAGTATCATCGGCTATGTCTTAAGGAGGGGAAGGTTGAGAAATCCAGGTACAATCTCTCCCTCTCTCTCTTGAGTGTTGTACACATTTAGTCCTACACACTTGCAAACACAAATAGAAGTTACCAGTACACTTCTAGTTTCCCATGCATGATTTTGTCCACTAATTACTCCAAATACAGAGAGAATAGAACCAAGTGTGAAAAATATTGACACAAACTCTAGTGCGTCTGTTATTGGGCCAAATGATGGGGAATTGTTATCATTCAGTTTACAAAATATATTAGCTGCCACAGACAACTTTTCTGAAGCAAAAAAACTAGGAGATGGTGGGTTTGGACCTATTTGTAAGGTAACTATTCCAAAACTGTGATATTTTTTCATTTATTTTTTACTCGTTTTAGTGCATCTAAGACTCAAATGACACATTTCATAAGAAGTTGGAAAGGGAAGAATAAGCTGAAACTTACTGCCAAACTCCAACATAAAAATCTTGTCAGACTATTGGGTTGTTGTTTTGAAATGGAGGAAAAGATACTAATCTATGAGTTTATGTGCTATGGAAGCCTAGACAAATTCCTATTTTGTACGCCTTAAGATCCTTTTCAATTTACTTCGGATAAAACATATTTCCTTTAAGATATACATGGGTTATGTTTTTAGCACACAAAACTGGGTTATGTTTATTTAAGATATACATGGGTTATTGTTGATGATTATTTAAGATATACATGGGTTATGTTTTTAGCACACAAAGATGAAACCTTTTCTTCTTTCACAAAACTCTGTCGTAGAATTCAAAATGAAAAAGGCTTTTTTATTACTAATATTCGAACCGACCATGGTAGAGAACTTGAAAATGAGAAATTTGAATTGTTTTGAGATTAGCATGATGAGGGAGCTAAATTATTTCCTTGGGCTTCAAATCAAACAATTTAAGGAAGGAATTTTTATCAACCAAGCTAAGTACACAAAAGAACTACTCAAAAAGTTTGGTATGTATGACTCAAAAATAACTGGAACACCTATGAGCACATCCATTAAGCTAGACAAGGATGAAAAAGGTAAGTCCATTGATCAAACAAAATATCGAGGTATGATCGGCTCACTTCTTTATTTAACTGCAAGTAGACCCGATATTATGTTTAGTGTTTGTATGTGTGCTAGATATCAATCAAATCCTAGAGAATCACATCTCAGTGCTGTTAAAAGAATTTTTAGATATCTTGTTGACACTCAAAATTTAGGACTGTTTTATCCTGGAGGTGTTGCATTTTATTTAATTAGTTACTCGGATGCTGACTTTGCCAGTTGCAAACTTAATAGAAAAAGCACCAGTGACACTTGTCACTTTCTTAGTAACTTATTAGTATCTTGGTTTAGCAAAAAGCAAAATTCTGTGGTTTTATCAACGGCCGAAGTTGAATATATAGCTTCCGGAAGTTGTTGTGCTCAAATACTTTGGATGAAACAACAATTGGAGGACTTTGATTTGCATAATGATCATATCCCCTATTAAATGTGATAATACTAGTGCCATCAATTTAAGCAAAAATCTGGTTCAACACTCACAAACAAAACATATTGAAATTTGACATCATTTTTTAAGAGATCATGTTCAAAAAAGGGATATTGTACTTGAATTTGTAAACACCGACAAGCAATTGGCGGATATTTTCACAAAATCCCCAAGCGAGGATCGCTTCAATTTTATTTGTGGCGAGCTTGGAATGTCGATTTCTACTTAAAAAGTTTTGTTATGACTATAAAACTTGAATTTTTGTTAAAATGATATATGAGTATTGTTACATTGATATGGAAATATTTATATCAGTTGAATGCTCTCAAGTCCTTCATACATTTATTCTCCTTAATAGTTTGCTATTCTCAACTGAATAACTTTTTTTGGGTTCTGCATTTTGAGGTAAAATTAACTTTGCATACATTGATTTTTTTTTAAACCCTCATGGTATTTTTTTTTACATTACCATTCCAGCAACATCGTCCCATTAAGTTTAGTTTCTGCTGGTATTATTTTATTTTAATTTTTAATTTTTTATTTATTTTGCTATTAGGCTTAATTTCTTTTATTTTTATTTTTTTCTCATTATTATTTTTTGTTTGGGCTTAATTTTTTTTTTCTGCTTTTTAATATCATTTTTCAGTACTTAAACAAAAACACATCAACAAATCAAAATACAAATATTTACATAAAAAAAATCAAAAAAAAAAAACCCTTCATTTTTTTCCGGCCATACGCCGATCTTACTTACTCACCTCTTCCATCGTTTTCTTCTTTTTATCACCATGGGCGACCCTTGACGTCCCTGCCCTCATGCTTTCGTCGAGAGTGAGCACTCCCCGCCGACTATCAAAAGCCAAGAACGATGTTGCTCCAAATCGGGCCATGGAGGTGGTCTTTCGTTTAAGCTCTTTATTTTCGACCTTCAGTGCTCCTATCTCTGCTCGCACATCCTTGTACATACTGGAGCAGAACGAGTTGGGCGCTGACCTGATGGAGCTCACTTGTCCTGTTTTGCAGTCGGTGAGCCAATTTTATGACTGCAGTCACCATCTCCATACAGGATGTCAGTGTGAAATGATTGACTTCAATGTCTGATTGAGCTGCCATTATTTGCTCAATCAACATCATAGGAAGGTTAGGAAGAGTGGGAGCCGAGGCACTCGGCCCAGCAGTGCTTACGGGATCATTTAGGTCCGGAAAGAGAGTAAGGGGACGGGACGAGGCCATGTAGTAGAAGAGAGAGATGTAATCGAAAGGAGAGTCGTTTTTGGCAGCCTTTCTGCTCCGCTCAGTCTCTCTGTTTTATCTCTCTCACGAAGCAAATAAGGAAGAAGAAGGCGAAGAGAGTGATTAAGAAGAAGACGGAGGAGAAGACGAGAGGAACGAGAGAGAGCCGAGGCAGCTGATTGACTGATTGACCCGTCTCGCTTTTGGCGGTCGGCTGACGCAAAAGCGCGGACGCGTGTCCGACGCGATTTTCGATGAAAAAAAAGAGACACAGGTGAATCATATATACATATATATATATGTATATATCTGTTTTGATTCTCTATTTTTTTATGTCATTTATCCCTATCATTTTCCTCCTCATCCTCCTCCTCCTCCTCCTCCAGATTCTGACTCATGATTTCCTTTTAATAATGTCACAAGGGGAGAAATTATATGATGTTATGTATTATGATATTATTTTCAAATTATGGTATTATTTGTTTGCTTCTCTCTCCCTTATCTCTTTATTTTATTTTAAATTGCCATAGTTATATTTCACATTTTTACTGTGCTAAAATCATTAACTGATATAGTTGTTAAGACATTTGTTTTAATTATTTTTATTTCATTAATTATATTTATTTATTGTGCTAGTCATAATTTTTATTAGGGTATTATTAATTTTAATTGTAAAAACCTAATTCACCCCCCTCTTAGGTTGTCTTTTGGGTAACAAGTTCGTTTACCTTTGCGGAGTGCAATAGGAAGGTCATCTGAGGGCATATCAGCAGGTGGAACAGGGATCTCAGACTAAGGAGATAAACTGGTCGGGCCATAAAACACAATGCGACGAGCTTGAGACTGTTGATAAACCTGCAAAAGAGGGGTAGAAGCGAGAGGAGAGGGAGAGGATATAGGAGTGGATGTGGAAGGAGCATAAGAGGAAAGAGTAGGAGTGAGAGAGGCTGGCTCCCCCTCATGATAAGAGAGAAGATCAATGGATAACTGTTGCCCAAAGGAAGAAAAAATTGGAGTAGACTCAAAAAAGGTAACATCAGCACTAACAAAGTACTGTACGGACGGGTCCTTCACCCTGAGGCTTGAAATTGCCTCCTGAGATTTATGGTGATTTTCGTGAAATTTTTTTATCATCCTTGATGTGAGTTTTCGATTTTTGAAAGTATTTTATATTTTTTGGGACTGTTTTTCAAATCTACTCTTGGGACTGCTTTTTGCTGTTTCTTCTCGCTGGAATCCCTACCCTAGGAACTGAAAATACCAACCCTAGTGATCCTTGCTCTTAATTTGTGGTTTTGCTGGTTGATCTTTTATTCAATTATTGCTTCATTCTGGTCCAGCAGCATTGTTTTCTTCATTTCTACCTATTGAAAGTTCCTATATAAGGGCTGAAATCCTTCTAGCAGGGGATATTTGTTCTCTATTTATTGATTTCTACTGTTGAGTTGGTGTGTTGGTCTAATTTGGGTGTGTTCTCCTCACTCTTGCCTATTGTTGCTGTGGACTTTTGTTTTTTGAGCTAGTTCTGTATCTATATTGGTGATTGTTAGTGCTAGTTGTTGTGGGTATTGACTGTTTGCAAGTATTTTGGCCCCTTTCATGCTCTTGTGTTGAGAATTTTGTGTGATTGATCATTATAGTTGAGATTGAGGCTAAGGCTATAACTATGGATAAGGATGATGAAATGCCTAAATCTATCATCACTATGAAGAATAGATTGCTCTGATACCAAGTTAGAAAGTAAAATGAAGGAGTTTAGGGTTGGGATTTAGGAGGAAGAAGAAGAAGAAGAAGAAGAAGAAGAAGAAGAAAGAGAAATTTTATATATGTTGAACAATCATTATCCCTCAACTTTACATCAGCAAAATATATATACAAACCAATATGACCATCGTACCCTCAACTTACGTAAATATTAACAAGAGAACAAAAGAACAAAAATAAATATTCTAACACTCCAAAATGCATAATCGTCGATGTGGGAGCCCTCACAAGGTTTGGGCTTAAAAGGCTATGTTTCGATTTTGACTTATTGCTCTTAGCTCTACTTTGCCAAATTTTCACCTTTCCTTTGCATGTAACTTAGTAGGAAAAAAAGACTCGTCTGCTTGCATTTGCCTCACACCCTTAGATGAGTAACACACAATCTCTCACATGGACACAGAACCGGATAGAGCGAAACGATGCACAATAACAAACACAAATTATGAGACTTAAACTAAGCAAACATAAAGGACTTGCTGAAGTGTTGCATTCAATCATTTATTATCTCACAAGCATAAGATGCTAGGAAATAAGTCTCTAACAAATATATGCCAAGTTATCTAACAGAAACAGTCTCTCCCATTGAAGCATAGCCAACACAAGTCTGAATAATCCTACACAAGCACATACAGTATAGCTCTGCTAATACAAGAAGTTCTTGATACTTTTGAGGAAAATTAAGCAAATGCAGAGCATCGAGTGCTGTTTTGATATTTTCATCATTCTAGGAGTTTTTTTCTCTGATGGCTTTCTTGTAATCACGTTTATATATATTTTTTTGGTAGAAATTGTCTTGCTTTCGTGCTTGCTTATATGTGTGTGAAAATAAAATACTACGAACATTGACAGGGAATGCCAAACTCTACAAAGCACACTAAATAAAGGCAATAATCAACTCTGCTATACTTATTATTTAAGCACATAACAATAGCAGACCAAGTCTCCACTTGCACATTTTTAACAACCAAAAAAACAAAAAACAAAAAAAAGTGAAGAAAAATTATCACTCAGAAGATACACCACTTATTGTGCCTAGAAGTGCAACCATTCATGATTAGATCTATGAGAAAAGGTCAACCGCTATACTTAAGCTAAAGCCTGATCTACCATGATTAGATCTATGAGAAAAGGTCAACCGCTATACTTAAGCTAAAGCCTGATCTACCCAATCCATGTGAACCTAAACATTGTAAAATCCAACAAAAAATCAACTTTGGTATCAACTCTCTTATAGAACTACTTGAATGTCTACCATTAGTTTCTTCTAGTGAAGTGAATATCATGATGAATGAACCATCAAATGGCTTGTTGTTTTCTACTCAAGATTATGATATTGTCCTTTTTTATTTTGCCTATTCTTGCTAGTGAAGACAGAGTGAGAGTAGGCAAATCAATCAGCATTAACCAAACCTTAACTTCAGCTGGGGGAATTTTGCATTAGGCTTCTTCAATCCAGGCAATTCTACGAACAGATACCTTGGCACATGGTACAAAACAATCTCCAAACAAACAGTGACATGGGTAGCTAATCGTGCAACTAGGTGGCGATTCTGAGTAAGAATCGCGATTCCGCGTTTCCTAGAAAGAAATGTGTAAGAATCGCGTTTCTGTGGGGGAGAGAAACGTGATTCAGTCCAAGATGGGATCGTAAATGGGAGAGAGAGAGAGAGAGAAAAAGAAACCCTAGTCTTCGACGTCGACATGAGAGGAGAAAGAAGAAGGGTTGTTGAGAGAAACTTACAATGGACCAGTGGTAACAGCTCTGTAGTTGGATTGGATTAGGGCTGAAATTAGGGCTTTGATTGCCTTCGTCACTCTCTTCTCTCACTATTGATCACGATCGTCTTCGTCTCTGAGGGCTTCGATCATCTTCGTCACTCTCTCGATCGTCTTCGTCTCTCTCTCTTCGTCTCTGCGCTTCTCTCTCTCTCTCTTCGTTTCTGCTTCTCTCCCTCTTCATCTCTAATCTGTTCGTTGTTCTCTCTCTCTCTCTTCGTCTCTATGTTTTAATTGATGATATATAATATATACTAGTGGGTGGCACACACGATGTGTGTGCAATTTAAATAAATAGGAATAAAAAAAAATAATAATGAAATTAATATTATAATGTGTACTTAGCTTAAGTGGTATGAATCCCATGGTCATGGGTTCAAGCCCTGCTCATCTCTTTGTTTAACTTTTTTTTTAAAAATAAAAAATACTGCCATATGACATGGGGAGAGTAAAGTTTCAGGACACCAAAGTTAGTAAAGCTTCAAGAACTTTTTTTTTAAAAATAAAAAATACTGCCATATGGCATGGGGAGAGTAAAGTTTAAGGACACCAAAGTTAGTAAAGCTTCAAGACACCAAAGTTCCTGTTCACTTTATAATAGTATAGATAGATAGATAATATATGTAATAAAATTTATAATTGTTATTTCTTAAAATATCATATATAATATAATTTTTATAAATTATTATTTCTTAACTTTTTAACATATAATAAATAAAAGATACTGTGTTGAACAAGAGGAAAAGATACTGATCTACAAGTATATGTGCAATGGAAGCCTAGACAAATTGCTATTTTGTACACACGTTTACCTCTTTTCTGAAACTTTTGATAAACAATTTCTGTAAGTTTTATAGTCTCTGATTTTCAATTTCCCATCACTGATTTTGTATTGGTTTTCCATTAGATCCTTCTAAGCAAGCTAATCTGGACTGGACTGGACTAAACGCTGCCAGATCATAGAAGGGATTGCTTAAGGTCAAATCTACCTGCACAAGTATTCTAGATTGAAAGTCATTCACTATATATATATATATTATTGCTCCCTGAGCCGCTTCCAACCTAAGAAATGCTCACGCTTCCTTGCTCCCGCTCCCGCTTCGTGCAACTAAGGCTAATAGAGACAACGTGCTTGCTAAGAATTCCCATGGTGTTTTTGGGCTTGGTGATGATGGGAATCTTGTGTTTTTCGATGGAAGAAGAAGCGTTGTTTGGTCATCAAATGCAACAACTGCCAATTTGGGCTTGGTGATGATGGGAATCTTGTGTTTTTTGATGGAAGAAGAAGAGGTTTGGTCATCAAATGCAACAACTGCCACTTTGGCCATGAACTCCACAATTGCAGTGCTGTTAGATACTGGAAACTGTGCTATGGCAGAGTTTTGATCATCCAACTGATACATTCATGCCTGGCATGAGATGAGACTTAGGTTGGATAGGAAAATTGGCTGGCAAAGCCTTCTATACTCATGGACAGACAATGCAGATCCTCAGCCAGGAATGTTCTCCGAAGGTATAGATCCAGAAGGGCGTCCACGAATTTTCATTTGGAAGCAACATGATACATATTGGAGAAGCAGTGTGTATGACTATAGTTTGTCTTATGTAGGATAAAAATCTCAAGAGTTTGCCTCCTACTTCACTTTCATTGCAGAAGGTGATGAAATTTATCTAACTTTCAGTGTCTCAGAAAACTTGATTAATATAAGAGCCATGTTAACTCCTAGAGGGCAAGCTGAGCTGCTGTTATGGGAGCAAAGTAACAATTCATGGGTAGTTTTATGGCAGGTTCCATTAGTTAAATGTGATTTTTATGGGTATTGTGTTCTGTTTAGTAGCTGTGATGAAAATGGTTTGCATAAATTCTGCCGTTGTTTGGAGGGTTTTGAGCCCAAATATCAGAAGGAATGGAAGCTTGGAAATTGGACAGGAGGCTGTACCAGGAGAACGACACGGACATGTGATATAGGAGATCAGTTTTCTAAGTTAGAAAGGATGAAATTTCCTGATTATTCAGTATCTCTGGGAAATATGACTACTGTTAGTCAATGTGAATTACAATGTAGTAAGAACTGCACTTGCGCGGCTTATGCTTATACTAATGTGAGCAGTGAAACAGTGAGCTGTATGCATTGGTTTGGGGATATCGTGGACCTAAAGGGTAATTACATCAATGGCGAAGATCTTTATGTCCGCAATAATGACTCTGATCAAGGTATGTATGATATCTTGCCCAATTTCTGTTCATACATCTATGATTGATTAATATTAATTGAGATTAATTTGATGTGCAGTTGGCAATGGTAAGTTGACACATAAAAGCAGAAGTGTCATTGCAATTGCAGCAGCTGCCATCTCTACTGGATTGCTTCTTATTTGCAGCTTTGGCTATGTTTTGAGGAGATGGATGAGAAGCCGAGGTATATTACATGCTTTTGCACTTGTAGTTTCTCATGCATGGTTTTGCTTCACTGATTACTCTGAATCCAGGGAGGGTAGATCGAAGTGCACATGAGCTTGATGCCAACTCTAAAGCATCGGTTGATGATTTAAATAATGGAGAATTGTTGTTGTTCAGTTTGAGAAGTATATTAGCTGCTACTGACAACTTTTCTGAAGCAAACAAACTTGGAGAGGGTGGGTATGGCCCTGTTTGTAAGGTAACACATTTCCATAATTGTAATATATATTCAAGTACTGGGAGTTGTGAAACATTCATATATTTCATCCTTTTTTTCTTTTTTAAATTCAGGGGTATTTGCCTGAAGTGCAAGAAGTAGCCATAAAAAAGCAATCAAAAACATCATTACAAGGAACAGAAGAGTTTATGAATGAGTTGAAATTTATTGCCGAACTCCAACATAAAAATCTTGTCAGGCTTTTGGGTTGCTGTGTTGAACAAGAGGAAAAGATACTGATCTACAAGTATATGTGCAATGGAAGCCTAGACAAATTGCTATTTTGTACACACGTTTACCTCTTTTCTGAAACTTTTGATAAACAATTTCTGTAAGTTTTATAGTCTCTGATTTTCAATTTCCCATCACTGATTTTGTATTGGTTTTCCATTAGATCCTTCTAAGCAAGCTAATCTGGACTGGACTGGACTAAACGCTGCCAGATCATAGAAGGGATTGCTTAAGGTCAAATCTACCTGCACAAGTATTCTAGATTGAAAGTCATTCACAGGGATTTAAAAGCAAGCAATATTCTGTTGGATGAAGCAATGAATCCCAAAATTTCGGACTTTAGAACTGCAAGGAGTTTCGGAATAAATCAAATTGAAGCAAATACCAGGTGGGCCGTGGGCACATAGTAAGAATAGCAGATATTCCCATTTGTATGAATTTTGAATGAGATAACCTTATTTGTACTGATGCTACCACTACTATTTCATCAACATGGTTACATGTCACCAGAATATGCGTTATACGGTAAATTTTCTAAAAAATCAGATGTATTTAGGTTTATAGTGTTAATGTTAGAGATCGTGAGTGGCTAGAGAAACCCTAGTTTTCATCTCACCAAACTCTTGCTAACCCTTTTAGGATGGGTAAGTATCCGTTGTCTCTTTGGTTATCCTCTTATGTTGGTTGTTGGTTGTTGGTTAGTTGGATATATAAGATAATTAATTAGTTTTGAAATTTTAATTTTTGATGGCTTTGACTCTTTACTGTGTGAAGGCATGGGAGAATTGGAAACAAGGTAGCTATTTGGAGTTCATTGATCCGTCAATAAAGGATACATGCAACTTTAAGGAGGCAATGAAGAGTATTGTTGTGAGGCTTTTGTGTGTTCAAGAATTTCCAGGTGATCGACACAATGTATGATGCAGTTCTCATGTTGAGCACTGAAAATGCCTTGATTCCATCACCCAAAGAACCAGCCTTTTCAACTTGTAGTAGTTCTAACACTGTCAACTATCCTTCTAAAACATCGAGTAGCTATTCCAACAATGAGGTGACAATTAGCATGCAAGACGCTCGATAGAAGCTCTCAATTTTTCTATTTTCATTTGAAGTATTTATGTTATGGTGGTAGTATTAACAGGTGCAAAAGCATACAAATGATGAAATTGTTGCCTACTCAGTCTTAAGTTTTATTGAATAAATCAGATTCCATCAAACTCAAGTGCCTTTTTAAAATTTTCCCATTCAAGTCTTCTTAGGTTCCGAGTGCCAATCTAAAATTTTCACACTGAATATTCTTAGGTTTTCCTGCATCTTTCCTTTCAGTTACTGTGCATGATTAAGGGTAGCTGTCATAAGTCAAACATGTGTTTTGAATAATTATTGAAGCTGTCCATGCTCAACCCGCTTGAGGCCTATTCCAACTAATCTTCTTCAACCAATAATTGGACGAGGTTTGTCATCATAACAATTTGATTAGTGGTCGATCTGCTAGCATAATCTTTTTTTTTGTTTTGTTTTGGCCTTTAATAGGCATAGGATGAGACTGCATCAAAAATTCTTTTTAAATCTATGTTGAATCTGTGAAGGGCTTACTTTAGATGACTGAAAATTTTATTGTCCGTCTTCTTTGACAGTTGAAATTGAGAATCTGAGATAGATCTTGGATGACGTCTCACAATCATAGATTATAATAAATTTCAGAAAGCTTGGAATTAGCAAGTTGTTTCGCATGTTGACTTGTTTTGATCTGAAGTCATCTATCTAGGATTAATAATCCAAGTTGGTTCTGAAAATTTTCTAATTTAATCTATCTGTTTTTTTGGAAAAACACTAGTTTAATTTTAATTGACTATAAAAACCAATAGCTTACTAGGAAGCCCACTCACAAGCTATAGAAATCAGTTGTATTCAGTAGTTCGACCCATTCAAAGATGGAAAACATTTTATCATCATTCTGTAGAGTTCGGAATTAGATCATAATTGATATGTTTTTTTTAAACCAGAAACAATTCACAAAACATATTGGTAAACTCAAAATGTGACATGTTCTGTTTTTACATTAGTACTTTTTCAATTCTTTCAGAACAATCGCTCTAATGTCATAATAAAATGATATCAATTTATTTATTTATTTAAAATTCAAAATGGCTCATCAACAATAACAATTCCACAAGCTTATGGTATGATAATTGCTTTACTGATTCTCTATCAATTGGATTTGCATTGAAATCTTTGGAAGACTCCAATTTTTGTTATTACTTGTTGCCTAATGGTGAATGGCATTTGTCTTATTTACCAAATTGTTCTGCACTCTATGACTGAATCGCAAATTTATATCTATTTATTATCTAACCAGAATGGTAAAGGTAATTTTGAAGGTAGATTCTTATGTCTTGCTTCAATCTTATTATAATCAAACTGGATGCAGAAAACTTGGATCTTAATATGAGCTTTAATATATGAGTAATATTACAAATTTACACTTATCAACTTAGAAATTATTTAAAATTTTCATCTTGTGTTTCAGATTTATTTTACATATAGATTTCACAATATACAAATTCAATCTCAACCACACATTTCCATTTAAGGTAAACTAGTGTTTCACCCGTGCTATGCACGGGTTGTATTTATAATTATTTGTATATATGTGAATTGCGAATTTTAAAATTTTTTTTTCACGCAAAAAAGGAATATAACAAATGCAGCATATCTTCAATAAATTATTTTTATGTTTATTTTTCTTCAAAATTTAAAAATAATGTACGGGCAAAATTTATAACTAAATTAAGAAAAAAATTTATTACTAACGATATTTTTTTACTTCTATATAAATACTTAAAAAAATAAATCTAAAAAAGGTAGTCAATATAAATATTATGCATTAAGTAAAAAAATGTGGTTAGCATAACAATTATACTTACATAAATTTACAATAGTTTTTGTAAAACCCAAGTTGTGTGTAGGATTATTTTATTGGATAGATTAGTAATTAAATTAATTTATATGAATCATTTATTAATATCAAAGAATTAGTTATGAGATGACATTATATTTTCTATTACTTGGATGGGTAATTTTGTAACTTTGAGAAATTAGGTTAATAAGCCCACCTGTTGTGGCTTTAAGTCTTGGAAAACAAACAAAACAGAGGTTGGGAATTGCTCCATAGGCGGCTAGGGTTTGAGAAGGTAAAAGAAAAAAAAGAAAAGAAAAAGAGAAGAGAGGTTCAAGTGAGGCTGCAATAGGGAATTGGAGGCAGCACGTTGGTGATTTTGGGACACCCATTGGTTAAGATAAAATCTGTCTTTACTGTTAATTATTAAGTTTATGTTGAGGAATTTAACAATCGATACATTAAGGGGATTGGAAGATCTATAGGTGCCTACTTAGGTTTGAGAATTGGTGCAATGTGTAAATGTAACTTTGGGTGGGTAATAGAAACAATGGCGTTTTGTATCATGGGTAAGGGTGTGCTTGGTTATAAAGTTGGGTTGAATGGTTTGATTACTTGGATATTAAAGCAATACATTAATCTAGTATGGTGGGGCTTTTGTGGGTGTATTAACACGTAAAAAATATAATTTATTTGAGGTTTTGTTTATTAGGTTTGGGTGATTAAAGTGTAGAGCTGAGTGTTTGGAGTTGGTGTTGGAATATTATTTCTAAGCGTTTGGTGTAAGTAACCCTCTATCACTATTGGTTCATTTTTATTCCTACTGAATCGTTTAAAATTATAAATATTTATTTATAGCCTTCATGTTCTCTTAAAATAAAATATGGGTCAAGTATAAAACAAGATCGAATATTTATTACGAAAGTTATTTGAATATTTTATGAAACTATTCTGAAAATTGTACCAAATGTTTATTCCAAAAATATCGAATATTTTATTAAAGTTGTGTATTGTTTGAATTTTGAACATCACTCTAGTCTGACTATGATTTGGATCCTAGCCAACGGGGGTTATTATTGGCACAAAAATTAGTTTCTTTTGGGGCTTTACCACCGGCCTATGTGTGGTTTTGGGCCTTGTCACAGGCTAAGTGACCGTAGTCACCAAGACTTGGGTTTTGTGAATCAAATCATTGAACCATCTGAATATCGAACCATCGATTTCAACAACGAATTTACTTTGAATTATCTTGTGGCTTTTCAATTAAAATATATTGTACATTGTTATTTTTAGCTATGAAATCATCTTACAAATAATTGTTCATTTATTGAATTGTAACAAAAATTATAAGTTATTGGTTATCGACTATTATTTATTTATTTTGTATACTTGATCCAGCTAGCAGTGATTGTTGCTTATTTACTGGGCTGTTAGCTTACCTTATTTTTTTTTCCTGATTTTGAGGAGTAGAGCTGCGCGGGATTTTTACTCGGGGGAGTGCCGAGAGTAGAACTATGATTTAAGTACTTGAATTATTTTTATTTATTTATTAGTGGACTTGGTGGACAATTTCATATGATAAGAATTATCTATTTGTATGGTTTTTAGTATTATGATATTTAAGGATTTAATTTGAGTATTTTACATTGTTGGTTATGTGTTAGACTCTCTAGCCTTGCATGCTCACTTAAATGAGTGTGCGGTGTTGTCACCGGAGCTTGGGGCGTGACAATTTTAATTTCAAATTCAAATTAAAAAAAAAAGTTATTTTAAAAAATCATTTTATTTAACTAGTACCAAAGCCCTAGGAGAGATGAGTGAAATTTTTATTTGTATAGTTTTATTGGTTGAGTTTGGATAGTTTTTATCTTTTGTGCTCAATCAAACGGGTGAAGCAATATTTCGATTTTGGATAGTCAATCATGGGCATATTTGCGCAAATTAACGCGTGAGGAATCTTGATATTGTCAGAAAAAATCAATGCGGATAAATTTCCTATAATTATTTAAAATCCACAGGAAACTTCTATATTTGCTTTATGAAACCTGAAGAGAGATAAATGTAATTTACTTCAATATTTATAGGTAATATATGGGTGGATTTTACTTACACCACTATTTTAACCTCTTTACACAACTTCATTTCATTACTATCCACTAAAAAAAAAAAAAATTCTCGTAATAACCGTTCCCAACTGATATTACACATAAACTAAGCCATTAAATTAGTTATTTTGCAATCTCTTTACGCCACAATTTTGAATAACACGGTGCTAAACAAATTACATTATTCGTCGATAGTGTCTGTTTGTCGGAAAAAAAATAAGATCTCTCCAGCATTTTGTTGCTATACATTTAAGAGACACTTTCCTTCCAAAAACAATGATTTTTAATTTGTGGTGGGCTATTCGATAATACAACGACTAATTAATTTGGACTACTCCAGGCCATTGTACCGGAACAAATATTTTTTCCTGCATTATGTTGCCGTAATTAGATGAAACACAGAAATTAATTTGGCCCATTGTGAAGTGCAAACTTAGTGATACATTGTCATACAGAAGTGGGATTTACTGTAGTGTCATGTTGCCAACTACAAATAGCAGTTGTTAGGCCGTTGTCATGTATATTGACAAAGATTTACTTTTTCTTTGAAGAATCCATTTAAAAAAAATTCCAATAAATCAACACGCATCCATAAAATCCAATACATAAAAAGTACATAAAATTATTCATAAAAACAACAAG